TTTAATGGTTCACCAAATAGTCGAGCAACATCATCAAGTATAATACCACTTGAATTTGCAACTCCATGGGATTTACGAGTACAGTTTTATCCATTATCAATATTAATTGTAATACCAACATTACCTTTTGTATATCTCATGACAAAATTCTATAAAAGCGATATTCTTGTATGTATAGTTTTTGTTTTAATTATTAATTTTGTTATTCAATTGTATTATTTAGTGTGGATTAGCAATTATGTTTAAGTTAATTATTCTTCATTTAGTTAGTATTATTGTACCTATAATCATGGCATTAGTTGATAATAAATTTGCTCAAAAATTAGTATACTGGATATTGAATTTAATATCGCCAACTATAAATGCACAAGCTATAATAACGTATATTTTAGCTAAAAAAAGTGTATTTTGTAAACAAATGGCTTTTGGATTTATGTTTCCACCTATTGGGGATGATACAATTGGATTGAATTGGTTAATTCTTTTCTTACATGCTATACTTTTATTGTTATTATTAATTGCAATAGATAGTGGTCTTATAAAACCTTCATTTTCATTTTCATTTCTATCACATCCTTTATCCTTCAATGAAAATATACTTGATAATGATGTTTTAACTGAACGTCAGCGTATCTTAAGTTTAAATCATTCAGCAACAAATCAAAATCCTGTCAACATAAATAATACTGAAGCACAGGAAGCCGATCATTTAGTAGTTCATGATCTTGTTAAACGTTATGCAGGCCGTAATGTTTTTGCTGTTAATCATTTAACATTCGGTGCAAAACGTGGTGAAGCATTTGGTTTACTTGGTTATAATGTAAGTTATATAAATACAATCTTTCTTCTTTAACAAATATTTTTTGATAAAATAGGGTGCTGGAAAAACAACAACATTTCGTATACTTGTTGGTGATGAAACATCAACACAAGGTACTGCTTATATTGATGGACAAAATGTTAATCGTCGTTTACGATCATTACGTCATCTTGGTTATTGTCCACAACAAGATTGTAGTATGGATTTTTTAACTGTACAAGATGGTTTATATTTATTAGCACGTATACGTGGTGTACCGACTACACGTATACATTCCATTGTTCAAACAATTGGTTCATTATTTTTACTTGATCCATTTCTTAAAAACTATATTCATCAATTAAGTGGAGGTACAAAACGACGATTACATGCTGCACTTGCATTAATTGGTAATATTAAATTCTATATTTATCAACAGTTCATAATATTAAAAATCATTTCTTAGGACCACCATTAGTTGCAATTCTTGATGAACCAACAACTGGTGTGGATCCAAATGCACGACAACAAATGCAAGAAATATTTTCTAATGCTGTTAAAGCTAAATTAACAATTATTTTAACAAGTCATTCAATGGATGAATGGTAAAAAAAGATCAAATTAATTTTCTTAGATTTTGTTTTTCTTTTATAGTGAACGTGTATGTAATCGTCTTGGTATTATGTTTAATGGTCAATTAGCTTGTTTAGGTACGATTCAACATTTAAAATCTAAATTTGGTCAAGGTTATACAATTGAAATTAAAGTTCGTTCAGTATCCGGTGATATAAATGTTCCAGCAATTGAAAATGTTGAAGCATTTCTATTAGCACAAACACAATTTAGTATTTCACTTAGAGAAAAATCTTATTCAACAGGTTCATTTCAAGTTCGACAAGGTACACCGGCTGATCTATTTGAATTACTTGAACAGAATAAACAAACTTTAAATATTGAAACATATACAATAACACAAACAACACTTGAACAAATATTTTTATCATTTGGTAAACAACAAACAGGTGTGGTTCAATAACTATAAAAAAACAACTTATCGGTGATTTTATTTTTAACGACAAAATATTTGAAATTATTTTTTTATGTGATTATTTTTTTAATCTTTATTTATTTATTTGTTTTTTGGTGTTCTATTATAAAATTAAATTGATAAAAGTTATATTAGCTTTTGTTTTGATATTTAATACAAGAAATAATTTTCAGTTTAAATTCAAATCATAGTCTGTCAAATCTTATCATAAATTTAACAAGTATTCAAACATATCTAGCTAAAATAAGAAAATCATTGTCTAAATGATCTAGATTGCTAAATATGGAATAATTGTACAATTCATGTAATTTAGAGAAATAAATGGTATTCGACTTTCACTCGCCGACGAAATGATGATGTGAGTTTTTCAGAGGGTGTGGGTGAATGTCCAAAACGCTGAATCCACACCCACACCCGTTGCGCCAACAGAAGTGACGAATGTCCTTTAAAAGGATACCCCTTATATCTTTTTTATCTGTCTCCTTCCCTTTCCTTTTTTTAGCTAGTTCTATCGTTTCATGTTCCCCCTTTCTCTCTCTAGTATATAAACTCGTGTTGTATGTTAAATAGTTACATTTGGCTGTAGTACTTAGTCGAATGAATATCGTACTTTAAAGCACTATAACTATGTCACTCCATTTGCCATAATGATGGGTATGCACCTGTAGCTCATTTATATCAATGGCCAACCAATGGTAGAGCTGCATATTCCATATTTTTCGTTACATTCTTATCAATGATTATTCAGTGAATGGCAAACAATTTCTTCCTTCGTTTAAGAAGAATTTATCGAGATTTACCGAGTGATGAAACTGGTCGTACAATTACTATCATTTTACATAGAGATGGTGCCCCTACTGTTAATGTCAGTAGTAAGTATCATTATGTAACTTAAAAAATAACTTCAAGTATTTTATAGTTCGAGAGTCGTTTCTTTCTAAGTCTCAACACTATTTACAGTCGAATAAAGCTTTTGAAAAATATGTCGTTGTTTACGCAGTTTCAGAGATAAGTAAGTATCAAGATCTATTTCTTATTTCACTCCTTTTATACTCAATACACAACTGTTAAAATATTTAATCATTTATATGTTTCTTAAGTATATTGCGATCTTTATGTAGAAAAGTCTGTGTGGCCTATACAAGCGACAATTGTGGAAATTCCAGCACCATCTTGAGGGCGTGGGTGAGTGTGAGTGTCCAAAACGCAAAATCCACAACCACACCTACCCACACCCAAATTTCTTATTTTTCAATATGGTGGTCGAGATGATGTTATGAATGCTGACCGATCTGATTCATTATTATACGCTGTATATGAAGTTGATCCAATATCAAAAAGTCTTCAGACATTCTTATGTTCGAATGTATATAAATCACCTTATTATGATAAATTTTTAAAGCAAGTTCTGTTAAATGTCAAGAATCAATGTTACATTCATCATTCTCTTAATGATATTATTAAAAAAATATTGATCCCAGGACGATGGTTTCTGAAGCAGGATTTCATGAATTTCCGGCAAAAACCCTGAGGAAAATCGTCATTTCTGGGCGGGAATTGGCCGTTTCCGTGTCGGATTGTTCGACCTGGGATGATTCATTACCCAGAATAGAATCAAAATTATTGTTCAATAAAGAATAAAATTTTGTTTACTCAAGTATCATCTTCAGACGTCCCTTCATTTATTAAATAAATGAGAATTAATATGAAAATAATCTCATTTTTTCTTCAAAACAAAAAAATAATATGAAATTATTTAAAACAAGTAACTAATCCAATTTGTAGATCATAATTTAAATTCATTTAATGTACTGTACCACGTACATGATCTACTGTACTTCCAATTGATTCACCAATAGCTGTTGATAATGTTGTTGGTCCAGTTTATTCATTATAAGCTGTTGATTGTTAATATTGTGCAATAGTAGTTGAACATAAATAATAAGGGTGTGGGTGCGGATTTCGTGTTTTGGACACTCACCCACACTCTCAAGATATTGTTTTCAAAGCACTTCAGTATTAAATTTCATAATTTTATCATTAAAAATATATACTATTGAAAAGATCTTGACAAATAGTAGGTTTAATAATGCAATGTGAAGCCCAATATTTATGTTATTCTTCTTTACTTCCTCGACGTACACAACAAACTTGTCGGTGTACTTCGCGATGATCTTGATATTGCGCTTACCGTACTAACGTGAAAGCATTTCAATGAACTGCAATATATTTTATTGTGTATCGAAAATGTACTTCATACTACATTTTGCATACACACTTGTCTCGTAAGCCATGTAAGTAGCATAACATAGCTACTGTTTCTATGTGAACATATTTAATTTAAATGTTAAAAAACTTCAATTACAGAATAAAATATAAATAGAATGATAGATACATGTATAAAGTATCCACAAAAAACATAGGATACTATCCATTTAGCAGAAACCGAGTTAAAAGTGCTGGCTAATTTCGATTATTCTTCAGACGAATGTGTTAATCCTGAATAGTCTCTCAATATTAAGGCAACTGACTGCACGGAGTGCAACAGCCGACGTGTTGCTTTTGATTTTCTTTTTCTTCTCCTTCTCGACAGATGAGTCACGATTTAAGTCAACCACTACTTCTTAACACTTGCGCATCATTTTTAATCGGGAAAAATATTGCATATTCGGAAGAACGTGCCGAGTGCATATCTGAAATCCGTATTTGAAACTTTGATCCCATGCGGGAGATACATAATTTAAAAAAATTAATTAACACATGATGATTGTCGTATATGATTATCTGTAACTTAGCATTATGCGACCATTGATATATGAGTTACTATATGCATATACATTTTAACTATCATTTCTTGTGACTTAAATCCATCATGATAGAGTCTAATCTATGGAAAGTAATTATTCGATGGCTTGTTTATCTAAGTTTAATTAATTAATCTTGAAGGTAAAATAAAACAAAATTTTAAATAGTTCAACTCTCTGTATTTATGAGGGTTGTTACGCTTCTGTAGTCAAATGCCTTTCTTCTACTTGAACTTGCTTCAAATGAAGGTCTAGTCTTTATTCATTCTAGGTATCCTTTCATTCACATCAAATTTTAATTGAAGATTGCATTGTTTTTTCTTTACTCACTTTAGATTAGACGATGAAATTCTTCGATATATTTTTTGCAACTCATTTCTTTGTATTAATTTTATCAATCAGAGCTCATACACCAGGAACAGTAACTATTGATAGCTTGACATTTAACAAAATTGTTCGAAATTTTGATGTTGTCTTAGCTAAGTTTGATGATAAATATCGTATGTATACTATTTTCTTTTATTTGATATAATTTGTTTCACGATCTGTTTTTTAGCTTATGGTGAACATCAAGATCAATTTAAAAAATTCGCTGAAAGCGTAGCTAATACAAAAAATCTTCTTTTAGTTGAAATTCCAGTAACAGATTATGGTGAAAAAGAAAATCAGCAATTAGCAACTGAATTTAAAGTAACCAAGACTGATTTTCCTGTCTATAAATTATTTCTTAAAGGAAAATATAAACCGATTAATTATACTGGTGATAAAACTGAAGATGGTCTTAAACATTTTCTTTCACAGCATACAAGTAAAGAATAACTATATTAAATTTAACATGCTATTTACAGAAAGAAACAACTTTTAGATCTTTGGTTTGATCTGCCTGGTTTATTTGAAGCAGAAGATCCCTCAACACAAGAATATTTTTCAGATTGAGCAAGTCAACATAAATTTATGAATTTTGACCAATGAAGCGAATAAATAATGGAAGTAAAGAAAAAACAATAAATAATTTTTAAGGAGAAAAGGAATTTAGCACGCTAAGCCTTTCGAATTGAGTTTATCTTTTTCAAGCAATTATTATGTAATGCGTAAAGTTGGATATTTTGCATAAAAAAATAGATATCATATCGTAAAGGACAGATTTTACAATATAACAGATTCTTTCAATACAACAAGGAATGTGAATGTATTTTTTGATTAATCGAGACAAAATTTTCATACTATAACGAAGATTTATTTTAATATTTCTAATAGAACAAAGACTGTAACGTTTTTATTTACAATTTTTCTGTTCCTAAAAAACGAAATATACTTTTGTTTTTCAAATTTCTATATTATACAACAAAAGTTTCAGTAAAAAATTGTCTCTGAAAAAAATCAATATATGGATATGGAGTAAAATATTCTGAATATTTCAGACAAATTTGCCCAACAAAAGATTCAATTATATTAAAAATTCAGCAACCACGAAAGTATGCGATCTTATTTTTTTCCTCGATTCACTCCTCTGACTCTGTTTTATGATAACAAATTCAATAATTGCTGATTATAACTGAGAACATAATATTCATCTATATTATGTATCATTTTATATCGATAAAGTAATCTTTACAAAAACGTTGTTTTCAGTTATTATCTCGGTTCTGTTATTTTCTAGTTGGTAACATTCTTTTTCGTTTCTTTCTTCCTACAGATAAATCTAACATCATGTGAAATCTATGATACAAAACAAATATCCATTCATTTCATGATAAGATGGAGAACAATATATATATATATAACTAACATATAAGACTACGCAGCACACATTTCATCAACAGTCGGCAATGGTAGATCAAACTGTCGCCAACTTCCTTACATTACCGGTAGAGCTTGTCTACCGAATTCTGGATCATCAGTCTGATCTCGCACTTATATGTTCAATAAGAAATATATGCCAACGATTGAAGAAGATTTTAGATAGTTATCATAGATATCAGGTAAAAATTTTTCTATCATGATAGTTTAGCTTTTACCTATTGAGTCCAATATAACATACGTGAATAAACTATTTCCTACTCAAACGAATTCATTACCTATCCCGTTCTCCCCAAACATTCCTTTTTTCTATTATTACAATATGAAAGTAGGCATGATATCATAAATATACAATGTTTAGATAAGAACGAAGAAAAGGAATAAAACATTGTTGTTTGATTTTTACGTATATCTGAACACTTTCTGTTTAAATACTATTTCGATAATAAAAATTAACTTTCGAAAGAAATTAACCGTCAATAAACTAGTTTATCTTGTTATAAATAACGTCCTCAAAATTTTCATGAGAAATACCTCTAACAAATACTTCTTTAAGAGCATGCGTGATTGTGACTAAACACGATGGTGGATGTAGATGAAGAGTAGACTCACTTACAAATATATCCACATTCTCATCCAATCACATTATTCACACCCATACTATCAAGATGGAATATTTCTTTAAGGAATATTAATTCTAAAGATATCCTTTTTCCGAAATAATTGCATGAAACGGATTTCATCTAAATACACTTTCTCTAGGACAAAATTCGAGAATAACTCGTCAGTGATATTTTTTATATGAAGTTTTAGTACGCATTCGTCTTCTACTTAAAATGAGTCTAACATTATGCAATGAATGGTTCGAATTTTCATTCCGTATAAATCAGTGTTGCTTCATGAATATAACCGTATGGTGGCATCAAAAGCAACTACCAAAATCAATATATATTCTCACTTATATAATTCGTGCACATCAATAAGACATAGTTCGATAGCTCATACATGATTCTAATACAAAACACATATCGAGTCAGAATAACGAACATGAAAGAAAACTGTCCACTAATTACTGATAAAAAATATCTTCTGTCACACCTATAGAATACTAGCAAGCGCTGCACCATACTTTACTACGCTGTAAACCATTTACTGCAACACATTGCTAATTGGGCACACAATACTGCTCTTTATAATTATTTTCCATGGGAATAACCTAGAAACTATTTCTCATTAACTAAAAATTTTTCCTTCTTCCAGAAACATTTAGAAACTACAGCAACGCGTAGATAAGACATTTCTATCCCTAGTTAATCCATGGTAACTTCTTTTCCGTCCAGATCGTCACAAAACATCCTTCCACACTAAGGAGCATATAAAATCCTTAAAATAGTCAAATTCGTAGCCATCGTCTCCAGGGTGGGTTCAGAATAACATTCATTTCACTGATATAACGCTAACTAACACCGACCAATTGTTTTGTCTTTTCATCTGTACCATGTTTTTACCTCCTCTTTGTCATTTAGACAATAACCACATTACATCTCTCCAAGAATCAAATCAGAGATGTTGGAGCACAATCTTTGGGTGATGCATTACAATACAATACAGTAAATATCATCCTCTCTTTATCTATAGAATGTCTTTGCCTTCACTTCTCCATCTAGACACTAACCACATTACATCTCTACAAAAACTTTATCAGAGATACTGGAGCACAATCTTTGGGCGATGTACTACAACGCAACATCGTAACTCTCGTTCTTTCTTTATCTATCCTTTGTCTTTACCTCCACTTTTCCGTCTAGACACTCACCACACTAGATCTCGGAAATAATTATATCGGCGATGTTGGAGCACGATATTTGGGCGATGTACTACAACATAACACAGTAACTTTCATTTTCACTTCATCTGTGGCATGTCTTTGCCTCCACTTTTCCATCTAGACACTAACCACATTACATCTCTCCAAAAATGATATCAGAGATGCTGGAGCACAATCTTTGGGTGTTGCGTTAAAATACAATACAGTAACTGTCATTGTTTCTTTATCTGAACCATGCGTTTTCTTACACGTTTTCATCTAGACACTCACCACACTAGATCTCGGAAATAATCACATCGGAGATGCTGGAGCACAATCTATGGGCGTTGCGTTAAAACATAATACAGTAACTGTTATTGTTTCTTTATCTAAACTATGTGTTTACCTCCACTTTTTCATCTAGACAATAACCACATTACATCTCTCCAAGAACCAAATCGGAATTGTTGGAGCACGATCTTTGGGCGATGGATTACAACACAACACAGTAACTCCCATTCTCTCTTTTTCTAAACTAAATCTTCACCTCCGCTTTTCCATCTAGACATTAACTGAATTAGATCTAAGCGAAAATGAAATCGGAGATATTGGAGCGCAATATTTGGGTCATGGATTACAACACAACACAGTAACTTTCAATCTCTCTTCACCTAAACCATGTGTTTATCTCAACTTTCTCATCTAGATGCTCGCCACACTATATCTCTGGAGGAATCAGATCGAATGGATTGGAGAGCGATATTTCGCTGATGCATTGCAACGCAACAAGGTAAACCTGAGCCTCTCTTTAGCTGTTCCATGTTTTTGTATCCACTGTTTCGTCTAGACATTGACGACGCTAGGACTTTGGGAAAATGGGATAGGGTATAGTGCAATGGATGTAATCAATAAGTTACTTGAACGGAATAAAAGAGGAACAAAACCATGAATGGTCATATTAAATGTAATTGGAGGATAAATAAATCGGTTGTAATGATTATGGGAGTGCTTCTTTTTATAATTTTGACAGAAACGGAAAATAAAACTGCTTATTTTCAAATTCAACGTGTATTGTGGTCAAGGGGAAAAAAGCAATACTTCCGTACTCTCCTATACTTCCATCGTACTTCAAAAACGTTGTGAAGTAGATGACGTTAAAACAGACTAAAATTCAATTAAACATACGACAAAGCGATATTTTTCTAAAGTTTGTATGAATAATAATGAGACAATATTGTAATAGTTTTCAGCTATCCAATGTCTATTCAGCAAACTGCCTAATACTACTATTTATGTAACATGATTAATAACTTTTCATCATATATTTTTATTAAATAAATTGTATGAATAATTAGTTACTCATTAAATTCTTCGCTAAAATTATTCATCATGGTACCCGCGCAATAGAAAAAAGTTGTAATATTAATTACATGTAGTAGGCGATAAAAAAGATATTATTTTATTAGAAAATAATAAATTATTAAAAAAAAGGAAGTGAAAAACCATGTTAAGAATTAAATATCCTAACTTTAAAAAGATCATATCTTACTGAAATAAAGTATTTAATCGATGAAATCCGTATTCAAATATATTTTATTTTGAAAAAAATGAGAAAACATTTCGAGTTAATATAGCTTAGTGGTATATATGAATGACTTCTGATTACTGCTTCATCTACTAAAATCTGATCGTCATCGCGTAAGGTAAAACTCAATCCATTTACCGAAGTAGGCTAAAACCATCGAGAGGTGTTGTTAATGGCGACTCAGTTCACATCTGAGATGGATTATCATATATTTTTCAAAATATTTAGGTTTTATATGGAACACGTTCAGACGCTTCTAATGTTTCAGCGGGAACGCATTTAAACGCAAGTCAAATTATGAACACATTCATGAGCGTTTCTAAAATAAATCGCATATAAACGCTTCGTTTGTTTCACTGGAGACGCGTTCGCTTTTAGCGTTTCGTACGCAAATCAAACGCGTTTCAGTCGTATTTTGAGATAAAAAAACATTTACATAAATAGCATGTATAAATGGGGCCTTGTCTGATTTTTCTTTCGCGACATATTGAAAATACAAGGTGAAAAAATGTGATTTCGTCACGCTTGAACAAGTCGATTATCTATTTACGTTTGGTTTGTTTAGTGACGCCCTCTTCTTTGCTTTAGTTTTCATTTGATAAGGTGTATTCAATCTATTACTCATCACCCAAATACTTATATAGAATCAAGTGGTAAACATTGACAAGCAAAAAGAAACAAAAGAACTTGATCAAATAAATAACAACTAATCCATGTCACTAATTCCAAATTCCTGGCGTTGGCAACAATTAAAATTAGCAATAACATGTTTTTTATGTTTAATACCCATTATATTTTTCTTTTTATTTAATTTTTATTTATCATTAATATTCATTATTCTTTGGTCTATATTTATTATAAAAAATGCTTATTTTCTTCCAAGTAATCTGAGTATATTATATGCAAGGTAAGAATAGATTTTTTAATTAAGAAATCAAAATCAAAATTATTTTATTAGATTTTTCTTTGAGTACTTATTTGAAACACCTCAATTATTATCTCAACTTCGACCACTGTTTGTATTCTTTTTAAATATTTTGAATAAAAAATATATTCATTATTTTTCTCTATAGTGGTTTGGATTTATTTAATACTCAATTAAATAATTATTCAGTTGCATACAAAGAATATGAAAATAAATATATGAAAACACAATTACATTATCTTCAATCATTTAAAAATAAAAAAATGTCAGTTAATGAAAGAGAATCGTATGAAGTTATGGAATATTTTATGAACATAAATGCAAAAAGAGAAAACAGTAACGAGTTTTCTTATCATGGTTATTTAATAAATCAAAAGATGGGTGCTCAATTAGAAATAATATCAACTATTACAAAATTTCATCGAATATTAAAACTAAATGATGCTGAAGCTTATCTTATTCGTGTAAAATATTTTATTTAAGCTCTAATTTAAATATCGAGTAATTTTTGCAGAATGCTAAGTAAAAAGCTTTTGATCTTCGTCCCCGTTTTCCTAGGTGCTTTGCAAAGCTTAAATCGAGGTTGTTCATTGTATCATACATTTTTTTCCTTGTCTATAGGTACAAAGAATATCTAATGCATTTGATCAATTTATTGAACAACAAATAGAACGGCGCCGTAGAAATATTCAAACACCACGATTTATTCTTCAAAAAGCTATTACTGGACTTGAAGCATTTCGTGAACAATTGAAAAATGAACCAGATCAAAGGTGAAGCAGCTAATATGTTTTTTTCTGTAGAGATAATTCAAGGATTTCATTTATTTTTAGTCCTTTGGTTATTGCTTTTATTAATAAACTCAATGACAAGATTTGCTCAGTAAATATTCTAGTTAAATAATACTTCTATAGATCTATTTGTCATTTTTAGAAAGAAAAACAAAATGATTTAATAAATCGTTTATTGCAAATTCTTAAAATAAATGTTAGTCCAGCTTACGATCGTTTATTAAATATTCTTTATGAAGATTTATCAAATGCAAAAACAGAACATGGTGTTTGGAAATTACCTAATGGAGATAAATATTATCAATTATGTTTAGAATATCATACAACAACAACTATGAGTGCAGAAAATATTCATGAACTAGGAAAAAAACATGTTGAAAGAATTCAAAATGAAATGAGAAAGTAAAATATCTTTTCGAGGATCTGGATATATACATTTCTGCATATTTTTACTTTTATAGCATTTTAAAAGAAAAACAAATTGAAACTTGGCATGATTTTCGAACAAGTATTATTAGTTTTGAACATAATATTGATCAAAAATATGAAAATATTGAAGAAAATCGAACAAAAATTATGGATGATTATACTAAAATAATTGAAAATATTGATAATGAAATGCATAAATATTTTTCATCTGCATGTCGTCCAGCAAAAAAATGTGTAGTTGAACGTGTACCACAAATTAAAGAAGCCTCATCACCACTTGCTTATTATTATCCAGAATCGCTTGATGGTAAAACACCAGGAACATTTTATGTAAATCTTCGTAATATTGATGAAATTATTAAGTTTAAAATGAATACAATAGCTTATCATGAAGCTGTTCCAGGTCATCATTTTCAAGTAAATTTAATCGTTTGGATAATATTTGTTTTTTCATTATTAAATATCTTATATAGATGAGTATTGCTCAATCACTTAAACATTTACCGGTCTTTCGTCGTGAGATTCCATTTACTGCTTATGCGGAAGGATGGGCATTATATACAGAACAATTAGCAGCAGAAGAAGGTTTTCATCAATCATGGTATAGTTATCTTGGATATCTTGATTATCAACTTTTACGATCTTGCCGGTATGACTATTTATAGAAACTTCGTTTATTTGTTTATTAATAATGTGTCTTTTAATCTTAGACTTGTTGTTGATACTGGTATTCATTGGAAAAGATGGTCTCGTGAACAAACTATTGATTATATGGTATAGAATTTTATTGAAAATACTATTTTTTAGAATTTATAGTTAACGTTTAGACGGAAAATACGTGTATGAACAAGGAAGATATTATTACAGAAGTTGAACGATATTTTATAAATCCTGGACAAGCTTGTTCTTATATGATTGGTTGTCAAACAATTTTATCATTACGAGAAAAAGCACAATTAGCCCTTGGTGATAAATTTGACTTGAAGAAATTTCATGATGGTATAAAAAAAATAATTTATATAATTTATTAAACTAATTGTTCATTTTTCTTTTAGCGGTTTTGCTACATGGTTCATTACCGTTAAATGTACTCGAAAATATAATCGATGAGTACATTAAAGAACAACGCAAAGATATGTGATAAACATTTTTTCATTTTTTTTTATTTTAAATGTAGTAACTTAGCTTTTATACCGTAGGCTTTTAAGTATAAACGTTAATATAGTTTTTAGTTTAAATCTTAACCGTAGAATTAATCAATAAAAAATTATGTGATTTATTGCGGGAGGTATGATAAAAAAAAGAATACACAACTAAATTACTTAATTTTAACGACATGATATCTGAGAGTAGGGTGTGAGTAAAAAAACTCCAAATCCTTGTGAATGAAGAAGTGAGTTAATTTTGTATGATCACTATATTGTTTTGTATTATAAGTTATTCAGAAGATATATTTTCAAAATCTTTTCATTTACAGTACTTTATAAGAACAATTCAAATATATGTATCGTGCTCGATTCTATTCCGAAGTTCTTTGTAAACTAACGCAAAAAACCATAAATAATTAATCTCTGACATGAATAATATAGCCAAGAAATATTTTTGTTTGGTAGGGTGTGGATGTAAGCCTTCGTGTTCTTCTCATTCATAATCGATACCCACACTCATACCCTTAGATAAAATCTAATCTCTTCCGATACTTATGTATGGACACTAGAAATTATTCATCGAAGCCGAGAATCTTCAACAAGAAACCATCAGGCGTCGTTCCTTTAGCAGGAAAAAATCATGTTGACAACAGCTGTTACACTGCGAATGCACATCTATTTGCACTCGCTTCAAGAAGTACTTAGATACAGCAAACAAACTGTTTTCTCAGATTTTGCGTCACGTTTTGTTTCTTCGAAAAAATCTTTGATTCACCAAGAATTCTTCGAAGTTGCCCACTTGAATCGATTGTCGACGAAGTAAGTGAATAAAGAATGAAGCATTGCATCTCATTTCGTTCTGTCGACGAAAATGCAGTTGCTTTCGTAAACATTTCAAGTATTTAAAATGCAGTGAAAAAGTAGAATAGAAACTACACATTCGATTCAATCAATTTTATTCAACCAGCAAGGTGAACGGGAAAAGGATTGAGAAGTTCGTCTGCAAATATACATTAACCTTTCCTACTAGTATAACTAATTTGTTTCATGTAGCAGGTCGCCAGTATGCTCCAGATTTTCTTTGAAACCTCTTTGTTGACTATGCGTATATACCAGCTTACTGTGGGATCGCACGTGTGATCTTCGGTATCTGGAACATTATATCCTATTCTGCTGATTACTGCAGCAGTTGTAGAATTCAGAATTTTGGGAACTTATGTATTTTTCGGTTTTCAGTTTTGTTGAGTATCTATGGAGCGATTCTTTCAAACAGCTCTCAGATAGGAAAATCTGCTAATATGGTACTCTAAGAGAAAAAGGTATTTTACCGAGCGTTTCAAAAATGTTCTCTTAGGTGTGAAGAATTTTAATAGAGGGTTTTCAGATTCACGAAACCTCTAATGATCTTTAAGCGGGGCAAACATTTCGAACTTTCTCATACGAAACACCATCCTCCCCCTGGTTTTGATTACACGGATAACAGAAAATCAGAAATCTTTAAAATATTCAATAGCCTCTTTTTGTTGAAACATCCAATATATGAGAGATCACTCGCTCTAAACTTCATTTATATTAATCTTTGCCTTAGAACATTCATTAAAGATTAAACTTCTGTACAAGATCAACACTTTCAACTATCTACAATTCAGTTGTTAATAATATGGGCGCTCTGAGAAAATGTCTTGGCACTCTTTGGAATATAATATATCTGGTTATTCCTTTAACGGAGTTTGGTTATGGTGTTCAATACTCTGATAATGGTGTACAATGTCCCGGTGTTCAGACTATGTACCCTTGTATGATTGGCGTTGGAGTATCTGAAGCAGTTCTTCTATTACCTCTTCTGCTTATTGCCTACCTTCGCCATACTAATTCTGGTAATACAGTACATACTACGACTACCATCACTACATATACTGACGGTTCTACCACAACAAAACACTCTAGTTATTCATGTAGAGGTTTAACGTACGCATTGATTGTCATAATGGTTCTGGTTTCTGCTGGATTCTTTTTCACTCTTCATGAAGTGTTTACAGTACAATCTACAATACAATTTACTAATTCCACTTCATCTACATACTGTGATCATCAATTATACAACGCGGCCTATGGGTTATTGATTGCCAGTTACTTTGTTGGCTTTTTCTTGATAATCTTTGCTATTATCATACATAAGATCAAGAAGTAAAAACTATCAATCGATGACTGACGCGTATGAGTGTCAATGAGACTGTTATTCTATCGAACAAATTACGACGCATTTTAATCTCAGACAAGAGTTTTATTAAGTAACTTTATTTGAGTGTTGGTATATAAGTGTTTGTCTTCTCTTCATTCTCTCCTACATTCACTCCCTTAATAATTTTTTGAATTAAGATCATTTGTTTTCTATCACATCTTTTACAGTCTAACTTCTTTTTAATATATTGGATCAAAGCAAATAGATTCATTTCGAATAATCCCGAACTGCAAAGATTATTGTACATATTCTTAATCTCAACGCTACAGAAATCAAACATCTCATAATCTTTTCCAGTGCAATAAGAAAGAAGGGCATGCATCAATGCAAATACTAGTTTTGAGACTTTTAGATATCAGAAAACAACGATTTTAACAAAGTTAGAAATATAATTCGAGATTTGATTTATATGTAGCTTTGAGTCTATGTGAGAAAAGACAACCGAAACTCTTTTCTGATAGTAAATGACAGATACTAGCGAATAAGTTGCCGGATGCTTCAATGGTCTCCTATACATGCGAAGAAACCTTTAGACAATTGACTAAATACTCATTATTGTCCCAGACCGATTATCATTCGTACGTAGAGCATCTCAGACTGGACTTAGCTTCAGATTTGGGTAATTTATAGAATTTTAGTTAACTTCATGGGATTAGTAATCGTTCAACAAACTTTTATAAACCTAGAGTAGAGACATTGATAAATTTATTCTTCTATACAAATATAGATTTCTTGATATAACTTACTTCTCTAAATAAATAACAAAGAATATTTAATTTTTGTCTATTAACAAAAAAAATTTCAGTACTATAAAATAACAAAGAGAGAAAAAAAGTCGATATTTTTCTATTCTAATTTTTAGTTATCTCTCTGTATAAGAAGATCGAGAACGATCATAACGCGATTTTGAATAACTTTGACGATCAATATGAATTATGTTATTTTTTTCGTCTTTTATATTTTGATTAGATTTTTTAGTAGATGATATTATGGAACCTAATTATTGATAAAGAAATTTATTAATAATAATACGTTTGAATAAATAGATTTACTTTCAGGTGCAATAATACGTTTGAAAAAGATTTCTGGTAATGAATTTTCATTATCTTCACTGTCTACGTTTATTGTTTCATCAGTAAGATCAAGTTTAATTTTCACAATCGGTTCAACAGGTATTTTTGAATGTAGTTGTTGTGTTGATGTTGATTCAGTTGTTATCTTATGGTTGAAATTAGTCTTGAAATCAATCGCTGTTGTTGTTTCATATTCCAAAGCAACAGAAGATTCATCTATATTTAAAATATATAAGTTTAATTAATGGTTTTTGAAAAATATACTTTTTAGAATATGATTTTGTTGAATCGATGGTGTTATAGCTGAATTAGAATAATTCAGATGATATTGTTGATGTTGATCAATGAATTGGTTTTTATTTGAATTATTATTATCATCATCAACAGCTGATAACACTTGAATACTTCCATCTGGACATAGATGAATTAATCGTTTTGGTTTAAATGGTGGATGAAGTAATAATTGTCTACAGAGCATATTTTCATCTTCTATAATAAATAAATATATAAATTAAAATAATATTCATTAAGAAAACCTTTGTTTGTATTTAAATTATTTATTAAAGGTGTATGATATGTCGATTGTTCTTTAAGAATATGTGGAGCATTTGAAGCAAGTATACGAATAATTTCAGTAATTTGACTAGAATCTGATAGATTGAGTTTATTACAAAGTTCTTGACATAATGTAATATCATTCGATAATTTTTCTTCATTAAATTCATCGGGTATAATTATTGATTTAGATTGATTATCAATTGTTTGTTTCTCAGTGTCTCTTTAGTAAATATTGGAATTCGAAATATTTTGTTTATGAAAGAAAGAAAACATACAATGTATTATTTTGTGGATCTTGATCAATACTCATTCGTAAGATCTAAAAATAGATGTATAATTGAATAAATAATATAAGTTTTACTCTTTGATATTTTTCTTGAGCAGTTTGAATTGAATCATTAACAAGTATTTGTGCATCCAATCGTAATTGACTATCATCATTAATTATTTCTACTGATCGTTGAGATGGTGATGTATCATGATCAGGAAATGATATTATAGATTCATTTTGTTCATTAATACCATTGGTAAATATCGTATCAGTTGTTAATAGTTCATCTTCTTCAGGTGAATTTGTTACATGAGATTTTATACTTGGAGAAACTAAAGATAAAAGTATAATACAATATGAATTCTAATCAAAACGAGATACCTGCATATGGACTAGTTTGAGTTTCACTTGCATCACTCATTTTTATAGATTTCTCAGAAGATTTTTTTTCTTTATCTAATGATTGTTGTTGTGGAATATAATGATCTGGATGATTAAATGGTATATTCGGAGGAAACAAAGGTCGACAATGTCCACAACACATTCCACGATTCATAAAAGTTAACGGTTCATATGAACGACGACAAAGTGAATCAGCTAATTGTTCACGTAAATTTATTGGATTTGTTGGTAAATTTTGACAATGAGATGAAGGTACAGGTACTACAATAATATGTGAATTAATTGTTCCTAAAGTATTTTTTTCTTCTGTTAATATTGTATGATTTGATTGTGTTTGATTGAGATTTAAATTTGATACGGAACGAACAGTTACACGTGTTTTATTTGAAAGCAGATTTAATTTCGATGAAGATTTTTGACTAAAAATTATATTTCATTATTCAATAAAAATCATTTGAATTTACTTTGAATGATGAGAAATACTTTTTGATAATCGACGACGATGACGACGACGATGACGAGAATATTTCTCATCGGCAGAATTATTCATAGACATCATCATATTCTTATTAATTCCAGTATAATATAATTCTTCTTTTGATGATAATAATAAAATTTGTGAAAGAGATTTTAAACAAAATTCATACAGAGATTTAATACACCAAATTGAATTTTTATACATACTAATAAAAGCGTATGTTAAACAATCGCTATTATTATCATCATCTTTTGTTTTCTGAGATAATCGTTGTAGATTATTAAATTTATTATGCATTATTTTAGATTTATAATTATTAGTATTGGAAAAATTGAAAATAAAATTCGATAACCATCTCCGTTGAATTGTATAGAAAATAGAGAATTTTATACTCGCGCTTTTCTTCATCTAAATCTTGTTTTATTCATTCATTCATTCAAATATATATGAAGATGGCGCCTGTTGTTTGTTCAAAGTCCTCTGTCTCTTCTTCTAGATATATATATATATATATCTATTCATTTGATAGAATAACAAAAATATAAAAGATCAGTCGATTAAAATCGTTTATAACACAAACATCAGGTTATCATTAAACAATGCCACACAAATATCGTTCACATGTACACAAACTTAAAAGACTTCATCATAATGATAATCAACTAATGACAATCGTAATAAATATTTTTCTATTGATTTATTAAAGTATTTCTTGTTTTACTTTTAGACAAATGTTCCTTGTAATCTTCTTGATGAAAATTTTTTGAATAAATCAATAAAATATATTAAATCTTTTGATTATTCAATATCACAATTAATTGCTGATCATTCAACTGATCCATTACAAAATACAAGTCGACAGTATATTAATGGACTATCAACTATTTTAAATGAAGGTCGTTTTGTTAATCATGAAATGATTATACGTCGAAATGGTGAAACAACATATCTTCGACCGAAACAAGATTTAGTCCTTGCAAATGGATTTACACCAGTTATACGACCTTCTTCTATATTACCATCATATCAGTCCATAATGTCTCATTCTCAAGTATCATCATCATCATCTTTATCAATTATGAATAAAATGTCAATAATGAAACAACCTGAACAAACAACAATAATTAAAACCAAACGAAAGAATCGACATAGAAGAAAACGTTGTAATGAACAATTTATTGATCATCATGTTCAATATAAAACTTCACAAGAATCATCTCTTGTACATTTTTTTAAACAAACATTACATGAAATCATTGAAGAGGTATGCAAAATACTAACTTCATTTAGAAAAAGAAATCAATGATTTAAATCTATTCTAGAAGAATTATCTTCCACCACCACTTATGTCAATTCTTCCTCAATTTCATAGTCCATCTTCTAATTATCATGTAATTTTATTCTATTAAATTCTAACAAAATAAAATATATTCTTTTCCATTTTTAGAATCAATCATGTACATTACCAGTAGAAGACAATTATGTTAATTCAAATTTTAATAATCAATATTTCAAACGTCCATTAAATACAATGTCAGATAATAGATATCAAGAATCTTCTTATGATATTCCTTTTGAACCATATCATAAATTATCTTATAATTTTCCACAACATGAACATATTTGTAAAAAGTCATTAATGCCACTTCATAGAAATTGTACATATACTCCTGGTTATTTTTTTGATTAATAGAAAATTATTTTATAAATAACATATGTATATATATATCTAATTATTTTTGTTTACTATTCAACTTAATCACTTGTAGTCATTTGTTCATGTCTTGTTATTCTTGTTGTTTTTCTTGTTGTTATTTTTCTACTCATCTAGTACTGCCATATAAATTAATCTTTTTCTTCTGCTATAAAAGCACTGCTAGTTGGACAGATATTGGGAAAAAAAACAATACTGCAAAGCTGTTATTTTTGTTGTTATCTACCATTATCCGTCTTATTCATGTAAATACAAACAGATATAGGCTAGGCAGATTTTTCTTTCCTGATTATTACTTCTATTGGATATAGAAAAATGTCGACAATGATTTGCTTATTTTTGTCAATGATATAGAAGTATATGCGCATCAATAATTATCGAAAAAAAAGGTCATACTTTATCATTCCTAAAAAAAGAAAAACTTGTTTATTATATGGCATACAATTCAATACGTATTTTAATGATATAATTGATGATCAAGGCAGTAAGAATTGAACATAAAAATGATAGAAATAAGAATGTATTGATAATCCTAAGTTATAAAAAGTATTTAGAAAGAAAGAGCGAGAGCGAGATCAGTCATTTTATCATGATTATTCCTTATATTTTGTTGTTGTTTTTTGTGTTAATAGATTAAATCTCGCGTAGAATATTAAATTAAAAAAAGAAGAATAAGACGAAGGAAAAGAAAAACAAACAGGTTCTTAAAAGAAAAGTTTTACGAACAAAAAGGCTTTTTCTAAAGGTGATTATATTTTAAAACGAGTGAGATTAATTAAAAAAAAAGATGATTTTTCTTGTTTATACATGAGAAAAAACGGACTTGGATGTTAAGTTAAAATCAATTCCATTTATTCGTCATGATGAGCAGCACCTGGTGGTGGAGCATAGTTTGGTTTATTGCTATTATGCAAGAAAAAAAGAAATTAGAATTAATTAATAAATCAAATATATATTAAGAAAATATTTACGTCATCTGAGATCCACTTTTATTTCCTAAATGTTCACCAGTATCCATACCTAATGTACCAGCTCCTTGTCCGAAACCATAACCTTTGGGTCTAAAAAGAAATTTTATTATATATATGTTTTCTTTTATTTTTTGGGTATAATTCATACCCGAATTTACGTCCGTAACATTGTTTGCAAAAAATGTCACCTTCATGTACAGCCATTGTCATAGCTTCTAACATTTTTTTGCAAAGACCTTTTATTAAAAACAAATAAGATTTCAAATGTATTGATACAATTCTTTTTTGTTCAACATACCACATTTGAAGCACATTTTGTGCCATTTTTTTCCAGCTGCAGCAACTTCTTCAGCAGCATAGACATTTTGATTGCATTTTGGACCTAGTTTAAATATAAAAAAATTAAGATTATTAATATATAAAACCATATTAAATATTATTTTACATTTAAAAGTTTCTGCGGGTGTAAATGGCATGATTGATTTACAAAGTATGAATTAGAAATAAATGAAAAAAGAGATCTGAAAATAAAATACATAATAATTAGAGTGTCTATCACATTCATTTTGAATAACATATATAAAATTAAAATAAATGTCTAATCATATTGATCAATATCACGTAATGGAGTATAGTTTGGTTTATTTCTACATATAAATGTACGATCATAACATTGTTTGGAAAATAAATTGTCTTCATGTTCTTTTTGTATAAACCTATTTTTCAAAGAAGAAAACAATATACATTTTATCACATTAAAAAACCTGTTTTATGGCATTTACATATAGATTTATGAAAAGGAAAATTCAAAATGATGCTTTTAATGTAATAAAAGATTTCTTTCTTATTCAAATAAATATATATATGTATAAATACCGTATATAAAGTTGTTTTGATGGACTTTGTTGCCAATGGCATAAACATTTTGATTGTATTTTGGACATTTGACTACTTTAAGAGATTTGAAAACGATATATTTCTATTCGTTTATTTTATATCTATTATAAATATACAAATATTGTGTATTCACAATGATTTTTACTTGATCAACTCCATTCTCTACGCACATTTACTTACATAAAAAAAACAAGAAAGTCGACTGCCAGCCTAGTAAAACTTTTTCTTCTCTAAAAAAAGGATATAAAAACAATACAGTTGTTTTCTTGGTCTCTGTTTTTCTTGCTATCGACGTATACGTATCTATCTATCTATGTGCAGCTACTCCATATCGGCAAAAAAAACAATCGATGCCGTACATAATATCTTTCCGTAGAAGATGATTGTTGCTAGAACATCATGATTCAGACGCCGAAAAAGATTTTTGTATAAATATGTACAGTAGTGAATATGTCGGATGCATATCTATAGTAAAAGAAGAAAAATAGAATAGAACGAACGATATCATCACTGCTACTCTGCAGTTTCTATCATAGGAACATATATATAACAGACAGTAATAAAAGAAAAAAAAATAGCATACAGCGAAAGCTCTTGAGACGAATCGGTATTTTTTTTATGTATGAGATAGTTATATATATCTATATATATATGTACGCATAGACAATATGGAGAAAGAAAAGCGTTGATGGGGTGAAACTCTAACCCAAATGTTCCTCCTAAATTTGGTCTACTAAATCAATGGAGGAAACGACCGTTTGCTACTAATATAACCTCTTTTCTGTTCGTGTCTAACCACTGGTAAGATGTGCCTCATCTACCATGGTTAATCTGGTATATTCTCTTCCGTATTATATTAGACAGCTATATTCTACGCATTTTCTTTTCCGCTTTTCTTCTTCTTCTTCTTCTTCTTCTTCTTTTTAGCCACTTCTTTTTCACCAATGATATTCCTATTATCAATCACGCCTCACAAAAAGAAAAGAACCATATCAAGCAAACGCTACTGGCAATTAGCACTGACTTTTTTGATTTTTCTTTCTTACTATACTATACCAATAAATGAAAGACAACAAAAACTAAAAATAAAATATATATCTATGTGTTGTTGATATTTCAGTTATGTGACAATTGTTTCGTATATAATTACCATCTGATCTGTTCTATTCTTATAACTAGTTAAGCAAGGTTTTACACATCATTCTTCCAATTGCGTAGGTGTCGATCGAAGAAAAAACATATGCAAACGATATCTATCATACCTTAAACTTGCTAGATATCATTAGCAAAGAAGATAAACCGACAGATACTAGATTAGTTTTTGTTTCGATCAATCACGTAAAACATTTGTAGTTTTTTTTTCTATCTGAGAGATTTAATAGATATATTATATAGAGGATAAAAGTGGAATAGCTGTTGTTTTTTATTTATTATTATGAAAATTAACATCAAGTAAAATATATATATAGATATATTCATCGATAGAAACAAAAGAACAATCAATAAGAATGAAATTTTTCATTAATCATATAAATTTTTTGTTTATAATCTTGATGAAGAACTACTATCGACATGATGAAAATACCTAAAAATAAATTACAATTTATTTCATTTTCTTTATCAAATTCCAGAGTACAACTATATTTCTATTCTTTAATAAGACTGATTATAAACAGAAGAATATTTACTTATGTATATTAGTAGATAGTATAGGTGAACTTGTATATAAATTTTGATTGAGATCAATCGAATGACGTATTTGACCTTCATCATCTGTTGATAATCCATCGATACATATTGAAGTTTGTTTCTAATTAAATAAAAAACAATAGTATCTGATTTATTGATACTGAAATTATACAATTCTTTGTGGTGCTATTGAAGATGTCATCATCGGTTTTTTTGAACGAAGTTCCTTTAATTCAAATAATAATAATAATTATTTATATAGATCATTATTTTTTTTAATATTTACTTCAATTTCATTTAATTGTGCATTCATTCGTTGTTTTGACATTGTTAATGCTTGTTCGAGACATTCAATTTTTTTATATAAATTATAAATAATTGTATTTTTATCAGTTATTTCCATTTGTAATGTATTCATTTCACGTTTAGCATAAAGAACATTTTCATTACATTGATATATTTTTACAGATAAATCATTGTTTTTATTTTCTTTTTTTAATTGATCTATTTCATTTGTTAATTGTTGAATTTTACCTTCTAAAATTTGTTTATGACTATTCCAATAACTAAAAAACAATCGTATTTTTTTTCTATTATAATTTATGTTATAAAAAATTACTTGATTAATTTATTTGCTTGATCAATATTTGTTTCAAGTTCTTTTCGAATAAAATTTTCATAATCAATATTTTGAAAATCTCTACAAAAAATTGTTTATTTTATTTATATTTGAAATTAAAACTTTTCCTAAATCAAACTACTTAAATATAGTTGATGGACTTTTTAGTAGATTTTCTTCAAGTAAATGTATTTGAAGTATTTCTTTTTCGGTTTGTATACGTTGTAATTCTAATCGAAGAGAATTATATTGTTGTTCACTATTATTTAACGATAAACGAAGTTTATCTATTTCATCAGACTAAATTACAATTTTCTTCCATAAACTAACTATAAATGATTGATACATTACCTGTTGATTAGAACGATGTTTATAAAAATCAAGATCTTTTTCAAGAGTTTTTATTTTAGATTCAAACAATGTCGATGGTTGTTGCTATAAAATAGATGTATAGTTAGAAAAAAAATGAATAGATTTGTAAATGATTACGTTACTGCGTTGTAACGAATTGATTAATTTGAGATCATTATAATGATGATCTTGTTTTAATTGATCATTTTCAGTATATAAACGTTGATTATCAATTTCAAGCATCTACCAAAATATGAATAATATCAATATTCTATCGAATTTAAGTTCAAATAAATACTTTATTGAATTCTCGTAGACGAGTGATCTCATTTAATGCATCATTTATTGATCTATTTTCTTCATTATTTTTATGTATCATGGTCATTCGTTCATATTCTGATTGTACATTGGAAAGCTATTTAATTCAAATAGAATAGAATTTAATCTTCAATTAAAATAAATTATTCACTTGTTTTGTTAAATATTGCATTTCATTATCATATTTTGTCATTATATTTTGAGTAGTTTGTTCAGCTTTATTAAGCATCATATGTAATTGATTAACCTTTTAATACAAATTGAATAAATATATTTAAGAATACATAAATTATATATATATTTATACTTCAAAATCTTTCTTTTCTAATGCTACACGATTTCGTGAACTTTCACATTCAGATAATAATAAATCACGTTGTAAATCATCAAGACGTTTTTGATGATTAAGTAATTTCATTTGTCGTCGATTAATAAAGACATCAATCTTTTTCAGTATTGTATTAAGAGTTATATCATTTGATGAATGATGACGATTTCTTTGAAATAAATATCATTTATATTAATTAAGAAATATTTAAATAAAAAGAGATAGTGAAGAATTGTATTTACTTTTTACATGCATCTTTTAATTGTAAAAGAAGTTCATCTAATTCATTATCAGACATGTCATATGAAGATAATGTTATTTTTTTTTCTATCTTTCTCTTTCTTTCTTTATAGCTTGTCAATGATTAAATCGATAAACATGTGTTTAATCAAAACAATAGAAAGAAAAATATATATATCAAAATAAATTCTTATAATCGAATCATTTACTTCAACGCCATCTATGAAAAGAGAAAGTATAGTTGTTTGAAATGCTTATATTTTCGGGTGTGTAATGAAAGTGATCTTACAGAGAAATATCTATATAAATTATTTTTAAATAACATACGAATATTTTATTTTTGTTTTTTTTCTGATTCGATCATTTAGTAACGTTGAAAAAAGAATTGTTACTCTACACAAAATATGAATAATATACATTATATTGTAATACTTCTCAAATGATCAAAGATATATCCCATACTTGTTGATTATTATTATTTTGAAATTAATAGAATATGTTTATGATAAATATAGAAGCGAAATATATGTTTCAAAGTAAAAAGAATATAAAAATATTAATTGCATATAAGAATCTGTCATTACTACAATCATATTTGTGTGGATCTAAATCTTA